AGCCAAGCAACTCCTTTCATTGAGTCTTCAGCCAAGCAACTCGTTTGATTGCGACCGCAGCCAAGCAACTCGTTTCATTGCGACTTCAGCCAAGCAACTCGTTTCATTGCAACTTCAGCCAAGCAACTCGTTTCATTGCGACTTCAGCCACGCAACTCGTTTCATTGCGTCTTCAGCCAAGCAACTCGTTTCATTGCGACTTCAGCCAAGCAACTCGTTTCATTGCGTCTTCAGCCAAGTTTCAAGCAACTCGTTTCATTGCGTCTTCAGCCAAGGCAGTCGTTTCATTGTCGTCTTCAGCCAAGAAACTGTTTCATTGCGACCTTCAGCCAAGCATTCGTTTCATTGCGACTTAGCCAAGCAACTCGTTCCATTGCGTAATTCAGCCAGCAACTCGTTTCATTGCGACTTCAGCCCCAAAAAAGGGCCCCCAAAAACCAACTTGTTTGCATTGCGACTTCAGCAAGCAACTCGTTTCAGTGCGAGTTCAGCAGCAATGTTTCATTGCGGATCTTCCGCCAGTTTCAAGCAACACGTTTCATTTTTTTTTTTTTTTGGGGGCGTCTTCAGCCAAGCAACTCGTTTCATTGCGTCTTCAGCCAAGCAACTCGTTTCATTGCGTCTTCAGCCAAGCAACTCGTTTCATTGCGACTCCAGCCAAGCAACTCGTTTCATTGCGACTTAAGCCACGCAGCTCGTTTCATTGCGACCTCAGCCAAGCAACTCGTTTCATTGCGACTTCAAGCAAGTTTTCAAGCAACTCGTTTCATTGCGACTTCAGCCTAAGAACCACGTTTCATTGCCGACCTCAGCCAAGCCAACTCGTTTCATTGCGCTTCCGCCAAGCAACTCGATTCATTTGCGATTCAGCAAGAAAACTCGTTTTCATTGCGGTCTTCTGCCAAGCACTCGTTTCATTGCGACTTCAGCCACGTAACTCGTTTCATTGCGATCTCAGCCAAGCCAAATCGTTTCATTGCATCAGCCAAGCAACTTGTTGAATTGCGACTTCAGCCAAGCAGCTCGTTTCATTGCGACTTCAGCCAAGCAACTCGTTTCATTGCGACTTCAGCCAAGCAACTCGTTGAATTGCGACTTCAGCCAAGCAACTAGTTTTTCTTTGTGACTTCAGCCAAGCAACTCGTTTCATTGCGGATTCAGCCAAGCAACTCGTTTCATTGCGACATCAGCCAAGCAACTCGTTTCATTGCGACTTCAGCCAAGAACTCGTTTTTCATTGCGAGTTCAGCCAAAACGCAATCTCGTTTCATTGCGACTTCAGCCAAGTTTCAAAGCAACTCGATTCATTGCGGGTTCTTCAGCCAAGCAACTCGTATTCATTTGCGTCTTCAGCCAAGCAAACTCGTTCATTTGCGTCTTCAGCCAAGCAACTCTTTCATTGCGACTCCTGCCAAGCAACTCGTTTCATTGCGACTTCAGCCAAGCAACTCGTTTCATTGCGACTCAGCCAAGCAAAACTTTTCGGTTTTTCATTGCGACCTCAGCCAAGTTTCAAGCAAAATGTTTCATGCGACTTCAGCCAAGAACCTCGTTTTCATTGCGACCTCAGCAAGCAATGTTTCAAGCGGACTTCAGCCAAGCAACTCGTTTCATTGCGACTTCAGCCAAGCAACTCGTTTCATTGCGACCTCAGCCAAGCAACTTGTTGAATTGCGACTTCAGCCAAGCAGCTCGTTTCATTGCGACTTCAGCCAAGCAACTCGTTTCATTGCGTCTTCAGCCAAGCAACTCGTTTTATTGCGTCTTCAGCCAAGCAGTCGATTCTTTGCGACTTCAGCCAAGCAACTCGTTTCATTGCGTCTTCAGCCAAGCAACTCGTTTCATTGCGACTTCAGCCAAGCAACTCGTTTCATTGCAACTTCAGCCAAGCAACTCGTTTCATTGCGTCTTCAGCCAAGCAACTCGTTTCATTGCGACTTCAGCCAAGCAACTGTTTCATTGCGTCTTCAGCAAGCAACTCGATTCATTGCGACTTCAGCCAAGCAAATCGTTTCATTGCGTCTTTCAGCCACGCAACTCGTTTGATTGCGACTTCAGCCAAGAACTCCTTTCATTGACGTCTTCAGCCAAGCAACTCGTTTCATTGCGTCTTCAGCCAAGCAACTCGTTTGATTGCGACTTCAGCCAAGCAACTCCTTTCATTGAGTCTTCAGCCAAGCAACTCGTTTGATTGCGACCGCAGCCAAGCAACTCGTTTCATTGCGACTTCAGCCAAGCAACTCGTTTCATTAAGCAACTCGTTTCATTGCGACTTCAGCCAAGCAACTCCTTTCATTGAGTCTTCAGCCAAGCAACTCGTTTGATTGCGACCGCAGCCAAGCAACTCGTTTCATTGCGACTTCAGCCAAGCAACTCGTTTCATTGCGACTTCAGCCAAGCAACTCGTTTCATTGCGACTTCAGCCAAGTTTAAGCAACTCGTCTTCATTGCGTCTTCAGCCAAGGCAGCTGTGTTCATTGCGTCTTCAGCCAAGCAACTCGTTTCCTTGCGACTTCAGCCAAGCAACTCGTTTCATAGCGACTTCAGCCAAGCAACTCGTTTCATTGCGACTTCAGCCAAGCAACACGTTTCATTGCGACTTTCAGCCACGCAACTTGGTTTGCCTTGGCGACTTTCAGCCAAGCAACTGTTTCATTGCGAGTACAGCCAAGCAACTCGTTCATGCGACTTCAGCCAAGTTTCAAGCAACTCGTTTCCTTGGTCTTCAGCCAAGCAACTCGTTTCATTGCGTTCTTCAGCAAGCAACTCGTTTCATGCGATCTTAGTCCAAGAACTCGTTTCATTGCGACTCCAGCCAAGCAACTCGTTTCATTGCGACTTAAGCCACGCAGCTCGTTTCATTGCGACCTCAGCCAAGCAACTCGTTTCATTGCGACTTCAGCCAAGTTTCAAGCAACTCGTTTCATTGCGACTTCAGCCAAGAACCTCG